CAGGCAGGTAGGAATGTTGCTCTTGAAGATGTCATTGTGCTTCCCATATGCTGCCCATCCTGCTTTTATCCTTCGTTTGATTTCTTTCTCCAGTGTTCGATCACTAAGGCTGAACCGTTGCCCAAGGTATATATACTCTTCTACTGCTTCTATTTCTTTGGTATTGACCTTCACTGTGCAAGGGGTGGTTAGTGGTCCAAACATCACCTTTGTCTTGCTGGTGTTCATCTTTGGCCCACTTTTTGCGCTTTCATCTGCTAACGCCTGCAGCATTTCTTCGAGGTCTTTTGCATCATCTGCTACTATTATGATGTCGTCTGCAAACCTAAGGTGATTGAGCTGGGTACCATCTATGTTTATGCCCTTGTCCTGCCATTCTAGCTCCCTGAATATACGTTCCAATGCTGCTGTGAACAGTTTAGGAGAGATTGTATCTCCTTGGCGTACACCTTTCTTGATCCTGATCTTATTGGTGGTCTTGTGTAGTTTGACTGTTACAGAGCTATCGGTGTATATGTCTCTGAGGACGTCTATGTATCCATCTTCGATCCCTAGATCTTGCAGGGATGCCAGTATATACTGGGTTTCTACTGAGTTGAAGGCTTTTTCATAATCAACGAATGCTACACATAGTGGAATGTTATACTCGAGACATTTCTCTTTGAGCTGGTTGACAGTGTGCATATGATCGGTAGTGGTGTACTGGCCTCTGAAACCTGCTTGTTCCTTTGGCTGTGCTTCATCTAGTTGTCTTGTTAGCCTTTCGGTCAATATTTTGGTGTAAATCTTGTACAAGTTAGAAAGGAAGCAGATGGGTCTGTAATTCTTGATGTCTTTTCTATTGCCCTTTTTGAACATTATGATCATGTTGGCGTTCTTCCATGCTACAGGAATTTCCTTCAGATGTAAGCACTTTGTGAAGAGCCTGGCTAATTCCTGAGATAGGATATCTCCTCCTGCTTTTACCATTTCTGCTTTGATGTTGTCATTTCCTGCTGCCTTCCCGTTCTTCATTTTCTGGACTGCTGACTCTACTTCCCAAGCTGTTATGTCTGGTAGATCGCATGCCTTTGTTGTTATTTCTATTTCCTTGTTGCTGTCATACAATTCTCCATAGAATTCTTCTACTCGTTCTAATATCTGGTCTTGTGTGGTGAGCTCATTTTCATCTTTGTCTAGAAGAGTCAGCATTCTATCCTGCCCTAGTTGAAAGGATCTCTTTGCTCTTTTCATGCTCTTTCCATTTTCGATGGTCTCTGCTATCTTCTTCATGTTCTGCTTCCTGATGTCTTCCCTTGTCTTCTTCTTGATGGTCTTATCCAGTTCTGCATATTCGATGTTGTTTCTGATGTCCCTGTTGTTGTTTACCTCCATTTTCTTCATCATCCGTCTTTTCTTCATGAGAATCCTCGTTTCTGTTGAGAGCTTTGAGTCCTTTATTTTACTAGCCGGTGCAACTTCTGATGCACATTCTAGGATGGTGGTTGTTATTCTATCGTTCATTTCATCTACTCCATCTTCACCTTCTAGCTCTAGTGCACTGAATCTGTTCGTTAGGAGGATTTGGAACTCGTCTTTCTTTATGACCAGTTGCTCGATACTAGGTCTTTTTTTTGATGGATTTGACAGGCATTTCTGTCTGTCCTTCCTGACATTGATCCTAATCACTCCCATAATTGCTCTGTGGTCACTGCCCGCATCCAATCTGTTTAGCACTTTCACATCCGTGAAGATGTTCGGTCTGTTTGTCATGATGTAATCAATTTCGTTTCTTGTACATCCATCTGGGCTTTGCCATGTCCATCTTCTTGATATCTTCTTCTTGTAGACGGTATTCATGATCTTCAAGTTATTTGCTGTCGCCCATTCAATAAATAAGTCTCCTCTTTCATTTCTCTCTCCACTGCCAAATTTCCCTGTGGCACGCTCTTGTTCGTCTGACTTTATCCCGATCTTGGCGTTGAAATCACCCATGACTATGTGGTAGTGGCAGTCTTTTGTCAACTGACGTTGTACTTCTTCATACAGTTCTTCTACTTCTACATCTGGTCTGCTTGATGTTGGTGCATATACCTGGATGAGTTTCATTGAGAATCTCTGATTCACTTTGAGCTTGGCTGTAGCCACCCTTGCGCTAATTTGCTTTACCTCGATAATGTTCTTGTTAGCGCCTTGTGTATCAGAAATCCAACTCCTTGTTGGCCATTTGAAGCATTTGTATGGTACAATATATGTCCGCTATTCAAGGTAATTAAGCGTTCTTCCGCTCGCCTAACTTCTGACAAGCCTATCACATGCCATTTAACTCCGCTGTCCTGGAGTTCAGTTTCCAATTCTGCAAGTCTTTCATTGTTCTTCAGAGTTCTAATGTTGTAAGTAATGATGTTGAAATTTTTCACTGGTCTTGATGTTGGGTGATCCTTACTGACCCAGAGATTCTTAGCACCTCCTGCACTCTGCTGGTCTGAACCAGGATCACCTCCTAAGTTCAGGGCGTTTGTGCGGCTGGGTACTGGAGGCCGTGTGTTTATTGGTCGTTTCATGCTGGATTTAAGGCCTACTCATCCCACGCTGGCCATTGCGGGTTGGGAGAGTGCCTAGATACACAGCAGCTAAGACATTTTATAACCCTGGACATCTGTTATCACCTTGTCTTGGTCAACTGCTTAAGGTCAAAATGTGCAGACACAAGATCCAAACTAAGACAATTTCCTATAAACAAAATGTTGATGTATTATTAACAAAGATATTACCATCACTAAAAACAAACCATTTCCTACATAAATACAATCAATTATCTTAATTGTAGTTTTTAGTCCAAATTACCCCACCTCTTTCCGAATACCTCTTGACGTCTTATGCATTAATAATGATATTATATTTTATTTAGGGTCTAAATCCATTAAAATTTTTCAGTAAACTTTGCATAAAAACAAGTACCTGAGAAAAAAATTACCAAAATATATAGAAATTTTTAAAATGATAACTTTTTAAAAAGATTAAGATTCTAGATAAAAACAGCTTACATTAAACCAATTACAATTATGATAATCATTTCAAACAGCCTAATTCTCATATGCTATTACCAACCTAAGCCTAAACTGAAAAAATAAAAGTCTCGGGCTATGCGAGAATTTTGAGCTAACAAACTTGACGATTTATAAGGATCGATTCATCTAAACAGATGTGGTTTAATATGTGGAGACTGAGGCAGTGTTGATTTTCCATACAGAGAATTCAAATAGGTATGAATCCAATTATGTTCAATTATGTTGATGGCGTGTAAACCTAGAACAAATAACTAATTTTGTGTGTTTTGGTGGTATAAATTTGATTATCTTAACAGTCGGGACTGGAAGATTCCTTAAGTACTGATTCGGCCTTAAGAAAAATAGGGTTAACCGCAGAATAATTAAACTTTTTCATTTTTATAGAGAAGGGGTGTTCTACAATCCAACTTATTTAAAACATAATTCAGCAGAAGCGGAGATATTTGCATAAAACTTACGTCAAACAAAGAAAGCTAATTAATCTTTACTAATAATCGGAAACAAGTATATTACCTGAAAAAGAAGTTGGCGTCGAGGTAGTAATTTTCATCGAAATTGTCGTATTAGATGTGGTGGAGGGCGTGGTCGTAGTTTTAAGAGTTCCCAGCGGGAAAATCATGTTGTGTCAATGTTAAAACATAGAAGTAGAGCGGATTCTCAACGAATTAAGCCAGGCTTTACAAAGCCGGTGACCTAAAAATGGCGGACGTACATGAAAGAAAAACCGCCTAATCTTTTAATAGTCTCTCCGCCTCCCCACACGTCGTCCCTGCGGGGTACAGTAATTAAATCGCGTCTCCGTTCGCCATGCGGAAGCTACCTGAGAAATATTAAGTGCGCATGCTCATCAGTTAAACTCGTGGTGAAGAAAGCGTGGCGGCTGAAGGCGATCGAAGGAAAAAAGCTCTTCTGTTCTATTATCTTTGAAAACAGAGACGAAAAAGGAATAATTTGGCCCGTAGAGCAGCAATGAATCGACTATCTACGGAGATAATATCACCAGAGATATTCACGGAAATATTAATGTTCGGAGCCGAGATTTAATTACTGTACCCCGCAGGGACGACGTGTGGGGAGGCGTGTGAGAGGCGGAGAGACTATCAAAAGATTAGGCGGTTTTTCTTTCATGTACGTCCGCCATTTTTAGGTCACCGGCTTTGTAAAGCCTGGCTTAATTCGTTGAGAATGCGCTCGTAGAGAAAATGGAATGCCAACTTCAAATCTCGCAGGCCGAGCTTGTGACCACGAGAGTTGGGCGAGAGTTGGGTAGTTTTACTTCCGGTTTCCATGCCGCTGCATTCAACTCACGCTTTAACATGTTGTAAAACTACTGCACAAAGCGACTAAAGCTAGTTTTTACGATTATGTGATTTGGCATGGCGTAAACGGGAGTCGGCACATTCTAACTGCAGTTTTGTTGGTGTGAAAACGGAATCATTAAAAACCAAATCGCTTTTTTTGGTGCGTGTGACGGAGTGTATATACCGAAGATAACACCGAAGATAATTAGCAATGTACAGTAAGTAATAACTTATGTATCTTAATACAATATTGTGTTCTTTAAGCGTAAATTTTAGGAATGAGAGGCTCATTCATGATATGATCTGTCCTTGAATACAATGGTCGTCTGACGCCGATTGTTTTTCCGTTTATCCCTCAAGTGTCCACGTACGGTCTTCGAGAAATCTGTGAACTAAATGTCGTTATCCAAGCTGTAAAATAAAAGCACAGAATACTCATATATATAAATATTACATATTTAGTCACCCCCTTTTCATTGTATGCATTTGTACAAGCAAAATACGAACATGTTTAATAGAAAAAAATTGAAAGATCCAAGTCATAATTGGAGTTGGGCCTTACCAACAGTGGATCATTGCAACACTAAACTAGATCAGTTATAGCTGGTTATACTCCTGGAGATATAGCTTCAACATATTATGTCATATAATTAAGATTAACCTGACTATGTAGGTCTTATAATGGGTATTCATTATAAATGTAAATTTTTATTCCGTTCTTTTCAAGGGTGTCAGGAAGGAGTTTCTGTTGTGTTGTTTTATGCAGTGCATCTTCACAGAAGTGCAAGGGTCTTTCTTTTCACAGCTTGCTTAAGGTAAAATTGAAGCAACACAAAATAATAATCAAGCAAACCATTTTATTATTACCTCTCTTCCACCTTTCCCCAAGTGAATAACTATCTACTTTCACAATAATTACAAATAAAACATTTCATGATAGCTCATAATGTTCAATATTTTACACCTTCGTATGCCTATATGCTAGCTTTTTGATTCCACAAAGAAACTCCCATTTCCAAGGAAAGTACTAGAATTAAGGTGGTGAATGTATCTTTTCATATCCACAGGGGTGTCTGAGGTTTCAGACGAATGGAGAAGTCAGCTGATCCATAGCATCAACAGATGTGACGGCTACTTCAATCCAGAGAAAGCCAAGATCTGTTCCAGACTTTTTTAAGCAGATCGTTTCATTAAACGTATGTGTACATTCAGGCTGTATAATTGGGGGATGAATATTATCTCATGAAAGTTTATTGAACCTGATTGAATTGAATTAACATCCCTTTCACCTCCTTATTACAACTTAAGTTCAACATTGCTGTTTGCTCACCAAATGAGGACTTATGTCTAGGTTTCATAGCTTTATTTTTTACATCGGACATTTAGCAGTGCACACACGTATGGTGAAACTGATTGCAGTTACATACACACTGAGACCTCACTATCCTTACTTTAAAATAGAAATTAAGGATTAAAGAAATGTGTACAAAAACGGCTGAATTTGTACATTTAGCATGATATGTAGAACTAAAATGGCAATCTGGAATAACAGAAATGCATTGGAAAAAAAATGTATCTGTATTGGAAAGGTGTCCCTAATATTGTTCCATTCCCACTAACAGACTTAGCATTTGTAGTGATAGGTGCAAGTCTGTCTTTTGAATTAGCAGTCTGTTGTGTCTGCTTCTGGCTGTGTACTGTTATCTATGGGTTGACTCTGTTCTTCATGTTTATCACTTCCTCTACATATATGTTTCAGTTTGCTGACTACAAAAACCACCATGCACTATTTGGGCTGATGAAATGTGCATCCAGGACTTTACTGAAGATATCAAGTGTCAACCACACTGAGTTAGAGTTCTTCTGTGACTGCTATAATGGCTGTCATTCTGGTTGTAGCAGTGAAGAAAGCTGACTGGGATGCCTCTCTGTTCAGCCTGGAGACCTTGGACTTCTTTACCAAACAGGGAGATATGCATTGTCTCAAAAGTTTGCAGATATCTGAAATTAAATTAGAACTGTGTGTTAGTCATGCACATTTTTAAAGTACTAATGGCAGAGTACAAATAATTCTGTCTGACTCCAGCTTTTGATGTATCCAAGAATATTGCTGTTTGAGAAATCAGTATCAATACTACGTCTTTATTTTTAACTATGACTATGTGAAACATTGGTTTTTAAATATTATAGAATAACCCATAGCATAACATGAACAAGAGCTGTGAATAAATCGAGTATGTAGGCAAGGAAAAGTCACCATCATTATAAACAAGTTGAAATACTATTGTGATAAAGTTCAACCCCATCTTGCTTTTACACGTTTTAAAAAAATGATTGCACCAATAGTATTCTATGGGTCACATGTATGGGGCTTCAAACTGTGTGAACCGGTGTTGATATTATTTTGAAGGAAAATTTAAGGTATAACTTCCAAATTAGCTATCTTAGGTGATCGCATCAAAAAACCCATGGTTTGCAGCTAAGAGTAAAAAAATAGTAATAATAATAATAAATTAAATAAAAAAATAAAATTTAAAAATAATAATAAACTAAAAAAAATTGGAATAAACTGAGGAGAATATAGCAAACTATAAAATGCTCTTGAAGTTAGATGAGGCATGATGTATTACATGGAAAACAAGCAAAAACATTTTTATATAGTTTTGAAAGTGCGTGGTATAATTAAGGCACAGGAAATAATTTATTTTTTGGATTTCTTGAACATTAGACTGAAATATTACCATGTTCAAAAGTGTATTAAACAATTGCAAAATATCTCTAAACTGAAATCATTGTATTTTCTAAATGTTTCAGCTTTATGTATTTATATCTGATTTCTCTAAATTTCACGGTTCTTATCATATACTGATGATTGATCAAAGTAGACAAGAAAACATTCCATAGAAATATAAAAATTTTATATGCAGGTCAAGAGTAAAATTCATTTGCTATTATTGTTATTATGTATGCAGTAACAGCTGTTATTGCTACTATAACTGATACATATTTGGAACTTTGTAATTTTGATAAAAGCCTTGAAATACTGAAATAAATATATTCTTTAACAATGTACCTTTTGAAGTTTCCTTTTGCATATTTATAGCTGCTGTATGTCAACAAAATGCTGGATGCAGCTTTTCCAGGGATTGCTCCACTAATTGTGAGATTTCAGTCACCTGAAGTAGTAAATTT